CTCACTTCTATTTTCCACGTTAAACCTGCCAACATTTAAACGGTTTATAAACAGTCCCAGTCCGATAATTTATTAGTCTGAGTAGGAAGAGGTTCTTTGAATTGTCGATCTACGACTTGTCGCTGTTATATCTATAAAGTGTTTATATTTTTAGAAATAAAATTTAGTAATAAAATTATTAGAATATTTTATTGTAGTTGTAAAAAAGACTTCAAAATTATTTGTCATTATTTATTTACAGTAATTAATAATTTATATAAATTAAAGTCTAACATTTTAGTCGTTCCAATGATTTGGTATTTAAATTTAGATATTAGAAAAAGGATAGAAAAACGTGAATAAAATAAGTTTTGTTTTTCAAAACACAGTCATGGTAAAACACAATTGAAATAAAAACAGTAGGATAAGAGAGAGAGAGAGAGATAGAGGGGGAGGGAGGGAGGGAAAAAGAGAAAGAATAAAACGGTAACAGCACAGAGGGGAGTTTGAGACTTTTATAGCGGCCCATTTGGCGCAACAACAAGCGTGGAAAGTTCTTTTAGTGTTGGGTCACAGATTCCGGACGAAAATATGCGTACGATTATGGGGTTCCGGATTATCAATTTGTTATACCGTGTTTATTATTTGAACACGCTACCGGGCATCCTTCACGGAAAATTTGGCCAGTTGTAAAACACGGATTCTTATATTTTCGGAAATATATTAGAGTTAGACTACCATGATTTCTCCAGATGTTAGTATCATACAGTGAAAGTAGAACCACAAAGAGTGTTCGTTAAATCGTATGGTAGAAAAGTTCTTTCATTTGAAATAAAATGAATATATTTATTTTCATTATATTTCTTGTACTTTCACTTTTTAACTTGATTTTTTTTTTTAAATAAAAGAGAGAGAGAGAGAGAGATTTCATCGCTTGTATTTGAAACAACAAACCAAATCTTTTCATGAATTTAATGTTTTCGATCGTACATATATTTTGCAAGAAAATTTCTTTCTATTTAGCTTCGCATTTTCTTTGTTATCATAATTATTTAATTTAAAGATAGAAATGAAAATGTTAAATAAAATCTTTGAATGACTTAACGAAGGAAAATTTTTGAATAGAAACGCTCATTAGGAGCGTTGATCTTTCGGAAATTTCCCGAGCGAAAATGTCGTCTATTTTAAAACAGCAGACATTGCTCGAAGATTGCGCTTTCAGAGATATCAATCTTGAGACATCCCCTTTTCTGTCTCGTCCTCTCTCTGTCTTTCCTTCTTTTTTCTTTTTCTTTTTTTCTTTTTCGGCGACGATAGGACGGCTGGTTCTAGGGATCGTCTTTGCTTGGGATTTAGTAGGAGAGTTATCTCTAATTCGGCAAGGATTTATTTACCAATGAATCTTGAAATTAGATGCGATTCTATTTGGAAATCAAACGATACACAGGAACAGTAGGGTAGTTCAATCACACGCATCGTAGAATCGCTGAGAGAAAATTGTCGACAATACTTATGGTTAGATATTTTCGATTATTTTCTAATCCTAATCTTTGTCTCTAAAATTGATATCATTTACGATATAGAAATTATAGATTTTATCTATTCATTCGAAGTTCTACGTAGAATACGATGTAGATTACAATTTGTAATTGTAATAAAGGACAAATCTAATGATCGGATGATTCCCAAAGTAGTTGAAACTTTGTCGATCCTTTTGAAAGTTTGTCAAATCGAATGGAACCGAAAGAGAAGGCAATTGTTAACATTGGCGGTTCACAGTCTGTCATTATTGCGAGATTAATTAGTAAAAGGGGGTGGAGTACGTGGAAGAGTCGCGTAGAAGATGGGAGGGTGTCTACAAGATGGCTCTGTTGAAGAAGAAAGAGGAAGAAGTTGCATGGTGAGAGTTAGGTCTTAAGTAGTATGGTTGAAGTAAAGGGGATGACGATCATCTGGCCTTCTCTCTAGCCTAGTTCTATCCCAAGGGATGCAAGAATTAATTGACACATCGGCTTACTCTTGGAGGAAGCTCTTGGCCAACGATGCTGGTGACGACGACGACGACGACGACTACGACGACTACGACGACTACGACGACGACAACGAAAACAACGACGACAACGACGACGACGACGACGACGACGATGCTGCGACGTGACTGATGAGACGTTTCGAAGGAGACGTCGAGAAAAACACTCGTGGATTTCGTGACTCCCTTTTTTTTTTTAGTTAGAACGTCGACTTTTTTGGCAAGAATTATCGTGGGTAGGATATATAAGAAAAAAGAGGGTGATTTGGGAGGAGAAGGTTCAGGACTCTCCTGGCAAATAACTCGACTAATCAGAGCCATCTCCCATCTCAGTGTTCCAGAACGACGACGACGACGACGACGACGTTTCAAGTAAAACACCTCCTATAGGGCAACGGCAATGTAACAGATTGGAATTTAATACGAACAGGGTGACACGTTCGCGCGTTTCATCCCTCTCACGCACTACCACACATTCACACACTAGAAACACATTGGTTAGAAACGGACTAAAGCTAACAGGCTTTCAGGAACAGGCGTTACGTTAGTCAATGTTACCACCAAGGAGGATCCATCTCCTATCCTATCCAAGACCACAACTTAGAATTCGTTAGCGGCTTCTCACGAAGGCACTCGTAATAACCCGCTGACGAGTCCAACTCCTGTTGCTTTGACTAATTGAAATTCGGAGATGAATAATCAAGAAGATAGACGGCAAATCCGTCGGCATATTCCTTCATCATTCATCGTCACAGTTACCACGAGATCTTTCTTAACTTCCTAAGAAATATTTTCGAACGTTTAACGTTACTTTCAATTTGACATTGTCATTTGTTTCAAATAGATTTTTATCGTGTCATTTCGAATGATCAAAAGTCTCTCTTAACGAATTCATTCAAAATTCTTTCCAAATGATAGATTTTAAACGTTAGAAAATAGATGATTTTCCACTAACTTGTTGGACCTTACGAACCATATCGAGTAGCCATAAATCTGAAAAGATCCGTGGCACGAGCCACATGATGTCCTCGTAACAGAAGGTTGTACGCAACAATGGATTCGAGATACGAAGGGTTGGCGAACTTTATGGGCCACTAGGGTCGCCATTCGACAACAGTATCTTACACCGTTCTCCATTTATCTACCTATTCTCCTTGTCTCTCCATCCCCTTCTCCTATCTCTATCTCTTTCTCTCTCTCTCTCTTTTACACTTCTGTCTCTCTTTCTAGCAACTCGTCTCTTTCTCTCATTCTCTTGGGTGAGTATAAACACCGACGACACCGATTTAACCGATCCTAAAGTCCTGTGAGTGGTCAGAGTCCATGGCGAAGGACGGTCCACGGTACACGCTGGAAGATTAAGTGTTTGGCACGAAGGTTAACCAGCCGCTGGTCGGCGGTAACACGCGGAATCATCTGTAAATTGAGCCCTGGGATAACGGGAGAGAGAGCGTCGGGACGGCCATAACTCACACGGGGGTGCCTCCGCCTCCGTCAGCAATGTAGGGGAGGTGGAGCTCCCTGCGTTCTATCCTACAACAACCCCCCGCCACGTGTTTTCCCTTATCGTCTACTACTAGTCCGGTCATCTTCCCGTGATTTGTGAGCACTTTTTTTCTTTTCAAATCTTACAACATCTCTAACAACTTACATACAAATATTATCCTCTGATAAGATCTTTTTTAAAAAAATTATATTATAAATATGTTGTAATTTAATTGAATACAAGTTAAATCTATTATTTTGGAATTGTTTATATTTAAATAAAATATTATTTCTCTAGGATGATTAAATATTGTTGGTTACATTAAAATAATTCAAATTGAATGTATATTATCAATGAAGGTATTTAAAAAAAATTAAATATAAAAAAAAGTGAAATAATTACGGAAGAAAAATTTAGTTTTGTAAAAAATATATACTTTGCGTATCCATGGTTATGAATAAAAAGGCATCAACAACGATTTATCTCGAAAACAATAATTCATTGGATTGTGAAAGGGTTGTAGGGAAGCGGCATGTGCGTCCGAGGACCGAGAAGCTATTGAGGAATAGAGCGTTCGTTCATGGAACGATACATCATAATTTGTTAGCTAGTGTTTGCAAATGCTGGGGAAACGTGTGGTTTTAGTGTGTGGTGCACACACCAGATGCTTTCGATCTTGGAAAGGTTTCTCGGGTCGAAGAAAAGGAGTGGCTAGGGTTATCATTAGCCGACGGACATTGGACACCCTGTAGAGAGACACAATACAACAGTGGCAGGCTAATAGACTCCTACTAAGCTACCTAATGTTGTAACCAGATAAATTGAATTCTATGAAGTACCGCTTAATAAACGTTTGTCTATACATTGATAGTTTTTCTTTGCCATTATCCTATTTGAAGATGTGGTAAAGGTGAATGATGAGGGAATGTTCTTTTTCTTTTTATGAGATTATCTATAGAAAAATTATTAATCCAATTTTATATACTGATTCAACGATACTATATGTATTAACTTGTTAAGATTGTAATAAGGTATTTTAATAGTTTTGTATTTTTCTGCTTTATCATATGTAATTAAAGTAGTATTGAAGCTTGATATTCGAATAAGGTACGTAAGATTATATAATAATCTAATAATTCAAAATGGAGTATACGAACTAAACGAGATGAGCGTTCAAATTTCCAAGAAGCATTCGTCCGTGAGAAAAATAATGATGAATTTCTTATAAACCTTTCATATGTTACGGTATATTATACATATCTAAAAGTAACAAAAATTTTTCATTTTAATTGAATCTCATACAAATGTTGAAAATTATTATCGGTAATAGAAAATCTTCTAGTTAAATTACTCAGAGTTTAGATATTCATCCGAGCATTTTGTGCTATCGTATGCAATTTTAAAATTATCTTATTCTAGGTTAATTAAAATGAAACGCTTCTTGAATATTATTCCTACGTTATGCTTGTATATAAAATGTATAGATTTGTAAGCAAGTAGGCTTACCTTGCTGACTACTCTTCCTTGTGGTTTTCTTTTCCTTCATCCAAGGATATTCAGGTACGTTGACACCAGATGGATCAGTTACTCCGTGATGATCTATCATTCCATGATAGGGAGGAAGGTGTGCACCAGGACTTATGGAACCACCGGTACCAGGTGAATGCTGAAGGTTCCCATCGTTAGGCAATTGCGGCAAAGCAGTCATGAATTCGGCCATTGAAGGTTGACTATTAATGAAGCCGGTCTCGGCAGTTACACAAGTTGGGTCCATAGTTGGATGATGCGTTGAGTGCGGGGGCAGCCCGGCTGGGGCACCAACCCCCGCGGCCACCGTGGCCAGCCAGAAGCCGCCCCCTCCGTCGTTCGCCAGGACGGGTGTCGTCGGCCTCGTCTTCAAATTTGTGAACTCTTTGGTCACACAGATTCTCGACCGGTCACCTACCTGCTCAACGATCTCACTGTTATGTTGATCCTCAAGCTTATGATGATCTTGTCGTAGTAAAGCTTCTTGCTTACCACGCATGGAACACACTCGATTCTACTTTTATTTAATACCTTCCTATAATTCTGTATATATTTTCTTTTTCTTATTATTTTTACGATATTATAGAATCGTATATGATGCAATAGAATACAATAAAAACGAAAATAACAACAACAATAACAATAATAGTAATAATAATAATAATAATAGTAATAATAATAATAATAATAATAATAATATTTTTATCTCATAGTATGATGATTTCTCTGGCGTGTTTTGTCTTGTTTCACGATTATAATAAATTTGTCAATTTTTCCACACGAATCAAACGAAGATTTTTTAGTTGAAATAATCCCGCATAAAATGCTAAACACACTGCCAATTCACTGTCTTCACTTTGATACGATTTATAATCGACGTGTCTTGTCCTTCTTTTCACCTCACTACACTACCGATAAAGATAATTCTTTCGAATAAAAGGATCGTCGCGGAGGTTTTAGATAATAATTCGCCGAGGTTACGATCACAGATCACTTTGGGCCATATCGCGAATATCATTGGGTATCGTAAACATATCGTAAACCGTGCGACCGAAATCGAGAGGAGCGAGGAAGCAAGCAAGCAAACAAGCAAGCAAGCMAGCAAGTACGGGCGGCCAACGGCGACGGATGGTCGACGAGTGAGGAAAGGAAGGAGGAGGTAGAGGTGCTGTATGGTTGGAATGGTGATGGAGTGGTAGTAGGAGAAGGTACTAGTGGAGGAAGAGGAGGTGGAGGGATTGGTAGATAGAGGAGGGGAGGGTAGAAAGTCAGTCGAGAAAAGAGAAGAAGGGGCGTGAGGGTGGTAGTAGAGTAGAAGAAGTAGAAGAAGATGAAGAAGTATAGTAGAAGGAGAAGAAGAAGAAGAAGAACAGAAGAGGAAGAGGAAGAAAGTATAAAAGGGAGTGGGGACAGGAAGAAGAGATGGTGGTCTTTGAAGAAGATGACGACGACGACGACGACGACGACAACGACGAAGTAAAAGAGTAGAAGAAGAAGAAGAAGAAGAAGAAGAAGACTAGGTGGAGTAAGAGAAGAGGAGGAGGGGGATGGAATTCCAGTGAGAGGAACTTTTTCTTCGCTCGACGTTCTCCGTTGCGTGTCTCTGTTGTTACTGCTGTCTCTCTTAACTCGCGCGTGACACAAACACACACGCGCGCGCGCACAGAGTAGATATAAATGGAGAAAGAGAGATGTATATATATATATATATATATATATATATATATATATAAAGTGTGTATGTATATAGAGACGAACGTAAAGAGAACACATAGAGTTATAGGAGGGGGGTCCTTCGAGTTCCCCGTGCACTGGAGTTTTCTTCTTGCGGGTTAGCTCGATGCGCGCAACGCTGGTGCGAAAGAGGAAGGACCAATCCGGTGCCGGTATCGGGCCCGTCCAGGCACGGCCCTCTACCGTTTGTAGGCGGGCTACACGTCACACTGAGGGCTTGAGTGCGAGAGAGTAAGCAACGTGTTCATGGTGAATAGAACGCGGCGAACGCAGGACCGAGACTCTCTCAGGTCCGTGAGCCTCGGGAGAGTGCGAGGGAACGACTCGAGTGGAAAAGCACGAGGCTAGGCTTCGTTGGTAGGCCACGCTCTCTCCCTCTCTCTCTTGCTCACTGCTACCGTGGGCGGGACGCCAAGCACCCCTTCTCTATTCCTTCCCGACTAAGGTGGGGGTGGCTTTCTCACGTGCTCGGCCACGAGGTCTCTCAAATTCTCTCTCTCTCTCTCTCTCTCTCGAAATAATATCCAGGTATATACCTACCATTTCTGAAAAGACAGCATCTCTCTGACAGCATTTCTCTGACAGAAGATAGTTATGTCTATTTTTTTTTTTTTACATTTTTTTAATCATATTCATTTTTTACTTTTATTTTTCTACATTTTTCTATGTCACTAATCTCCTTCTCTCTCTTTTCTTCTCTCGCTCTTTCGTTTTGATTTTTTTGTCTGTGTTTATAGTAACCACTTACAAAAAAATCAGTATTCTAACTGACAAAGCATAGTTACGTCTATTCTTTTCTGTATTGTTTAAAAAATCTACAATTTTTGATCTTTTCTTTTTAATTTTTTTTATTTTTCTCTCTCTCTCCCTTTAGTTTTTAAACCTTTTTATTTCTTTTCTTTTTTTTTTTTATATTTGTATTCCTTTTGGCATACCTTAGTAGTAGACCTTCTTCGAGAAATTTTTATTCCATAAGAATATCAGAGAAAACTTTGTTTGGGGAAATGTTTTTAGATATTTCGTAGACCCGATTGCGTAATTTCGAAACCTTTTTTTACTAGTTTCTTTTATAGTTTTTATTTGTTAAAACTAACAATAAGTGAACAGTCGGTAAACTCATTTTAATTTGAAAATTGTTTGTATTCGTTTAGACATATTATACCTTTTTTGAATCAAATTATTTATGGGGTTAGAAGAATTCGAAGCTATTAGGAACATCTAAAACCTTTTTTTAATGTCACTAACAAAAAAATGTATATTTTAGCTTTTCAAAATTTTGATCTAATTATATTTACCAATGAAATAAAAAAGTAATGAAATAAAAAATACCTTCTGCTATTTTTTAGATGATAAAAAAGGTATATCTTATTTAAAAAAAAAAACAAAAAAAAATCATACAGCCCTCGCAAAAGTGAAATATTGAAACGTTAGGAAATAAATTCATTAAATTGCTGTCTTTTTTCACTTCGAATTTTTTGTTTCTTTTTTTTAAGCAAGACTAATCATTGTCTTCTCTCGCAATACGTCCATACGTTTGAAACGGACTAACAAGAGGAAGGATTTTTTTTTGTCGTAGAACTAGCCGCGATCTCTTCGATCATATTCCCTGTCTAAATGAGAGCTTCTCCACAAAGCGGATCAGGGTAATCTGTCATCAAAACCGTCCTACGGAATCGTCGTGGTAACAACTGACGTATCCTCTTCTCTTCCTCCCCTTTATCTCCCTTCCATCATCTCTCTCTCTTCCAACCTGGGCAATTTTAACGGTTACAACGAAGTGACGGCTGCATTCGTTGCACGCGATCCGATTCAATTGCAAATCGTTTTTGTCGAGTTACTCCGGACGTCGAGCTTTCTCTTCTTTTATTTTACCTTTTTTCAATATAATTTTTTTTTTCTTTTTTATTATTTTTTTTCTTTTATTTTTATCATATCACATTCTCTCCTTCTCGCGCGATACTCTTTCTGAATTTCATTTAAATCATCGTGGATTAGGTTACGGGAATATATCAATTGAAAATTGATATAATTTGATATTCAAATATACGACATTCTTGAAAATATTGATAAAGTAAGCTTGGAAAAATTTGGTTCAACTTAAAGTGTTGAAGTAATAATATAAAAAATATTAACATAAATCAAGGATAAAACGAATTACGATGCGTAGAGTTGAAGATGAAAGGGAAAATATTATTTGTATATTTTTTTGTATTTTGAAAATCTTTATATAGGAATACATATTCATCTTTCACGATAAAATAGAGTGAAATTATTTATTTGCGATAAAAGTAGGCAGAAGATAGGTGCATTCATAACGCTAAAGGGGGGATATTCGATCGAGGCAGTGGGTTAGAGCTAAATTTCAGAGAGGCTGCGAACGCGGCACTCACGGTGTGAGGAAAGAGGAGGGAGTTCGGGGGATGGTTTGAGAGAAAGAGAGAAAGAGAGAAAGAGAAAGAGAAAGGGAGAACACCCGCCACATCTGCCGCCAGATTTAACTATACATTACAGACACACGATATGTCAAAGTCCTATACTTCATATCGACTTCGCCATTTATTAAAAGTTTCATCGCGCGGGCGCGTTGCCACCACGCGCCACGTCGCTTTTGCCTCGCGACGTTTGGATCGACCCCTTCTTTTTAGTCCAACATCAAGGAATATAGAAAGGAAAGATCAGAAATATATGTGTCTATGTAGTCTATATATATATTTATGTAGAAATATAGGGAACAATGAAAATTTATCGGTAGAGTTAGCTCTTTAACAAATTTTTGATGATACGAAACAATTCTTTAGTTTTTCATTCATTTGTTTTTTTTTTTTTGCTATTCTCAGTTTAAGTCTAAAACATAAATTTATGTGTATATACGTGTTTAAGATATAATGAACAATTACAATTTATCTGTTAGAGAGTAAACATTTTTACAAATTTTAGGTGATCTAAATGTAATTTTCATGTTTTTCGTAAATTTTATTTTTCTATTCTCGATTCGAGTATATATATATATATAAAGTTCAGTGATATATTTATTAATTTTAAATAAATATATGAATATTTTAAAAAAAACAAGGTTTCTATCGATATGGTTTAGATATACATAACATTATCGATATTTCACGAATTGTATATAAAATATATTTACCTCGGATATTATTTATAAGAAAGAGAAAAAGAAATATAGATAAAGAAAAAAAAAAAAAGAGTTTTCAAGGGTTCGAACGAATGAAGCGAGGAGAATTTTCCATTTATAAGAGTGAGGGCACCCTCTCTTCTGACGACACTGGCATTTCTGTCAGTCAGGTCTCTTCCTTCCTCCACCTGCCACCTATTGCGAAATGAAGTTTTATATTAAGCTTCGAGTTTCTTCTCTCCTTTTCTCTTCACCCTTCTTTTTCCACTCTCTTTCTTTATTTTTCATCCCTTCTTCGACCCTTCTTGGCTCTCTGTATATTTACGTACCGATAGATCGTTATGTCGGCGTTTGCATATATATTGACATTGCTGGTTTTCTCCCGCGAAGGTGCGTTATTCCTATCTACTCAGTTATCCTTCTAACATGTATACATAACGTATATGTATACCAATGCCCATCAAATATTTTACAAGAATATTTACGTATATACATACAAGTCTTTTCAAATTCTTAACTATCCATCATATACTATCTTGTCTTCCGCATAGATACTAATTCGATTACCGTTATTACTACTATCAACTTTCTTTCTCATGCTTGGTAATTAGTTTTCCTACTACGATAGAAGATAAATATCATCTTATTCAAGATTAACTAATAGATACTTATATACGTATATAACGTAGTTAACCTGTTATCCCGTATATTACGTATTTGAGTTCATACCTTTTATGGTTTCCACTGATTTGCGTATAATAGTATTTATTTATGATAATGT